TAGTTGTTAACAATGATTCCCGAGCAGCACGGGAGGAGATACGCATACACTCACGCGACCGTGTCCGTGAGCCTCATGAATACGGTCGCGTGAGTGTATGCGTATCCCTTCCCATGCTGATGCGTGCTGCTCGGGAGTCAAAATTTCTATCACTATTTGTTAGTGGCAGTCATTAATACTAGAATTTGTTTTATTGTGTATTTCTTACACTTATACCATTTTTCGGAGAAAATATTTTCATTAGATTTAATATTCATATTTGTTTAATTTTGTGGTTTTTCATTAAAATATTGTGTGTTTCATTAAAATATTATATTCTTAAACGAAATATAATTTTTTAAAATAATGAAATTAAAAACTTTTATTTTGTTCAAGGAAATCATGTCTTTTGATGAAACAACAGTATTGTTTTAAATAGTATTTTTTTAAAGTTAGCTCTTAGTTTTTTCAAATAATTATATAATAATATTAGGTGCGCAACTAAGTTCCCGCTGTTTGTCAATAGATGGCTCCAGCAGTAAGTGCTGGTCGATTTTGACATATTCAAAACGTCATGAACCAAGCTTAGACATATGGTAAACAAATCGCTTTGACACGTTAGTGATTTTGTTTTGGCGTCTTTATACTTTTGGTTGTGTGAAAATGTCTGATTTTGTGTCAAATAATCGTCATTTGCGGGAAGTGTTGATTTTCTTATTTCATCCAAAGAAAATGGCGGCTGAAGCGCATCGAGAGCTCCAAAAAGTTTACGGAGATGCTGCTCTAAGTGAAACAACGTGCCGTGATTGGTTTCGTCTCTTCAAAGACGGTGATTTCGATGTTGACAACCGTCCGCGTGAAGGAAGGCCAAAAACCTTCGAAGACGCTGAATTGGAGGCATTGCTCGATGAGGATCCATGCCAAACGCAAGAACAGCTTGCTTCAGCATTAGGAGTTACCTGCCAAGTCATTTCCAAACGATTGCATGCGTTGGGAATGATTCAAAAGCAAGGAACTTGGGTTCCTTATGATTTGAAGCCAAGGGACGTTGAGCGTCGTTTTTTCGCCTGCTCCAGCGGCAAAAAAGGAAGGGTTTTCTTCATCGCATCGTGACGGGTGATGAAAAATGGATTTATTACAGCAACCCAAAGAAAAAAAAGTCCGGTCATGCTTCTACGTCGTCGGCTCGGCCGAATATTCACGCTGCGAAGGTTATGCTGTGTATTTAGTGGGACCAGGTCGGTGTTATTTATTATGAGCTGTTGAAACCGAACGAAACCATCACTGGGGAACGGTATCGAATTCAATTGATGCGATTGAGCCGAGCACTGCACGAAAAACGGCCACAATACGAGCAGAGGCACGAAAAAGTGATTCTACTGCATGACAACGCTCGGCCTCATGTTGCCAAACCCGTTAAAACCTACTTGGAAACGCTCAAATGGGAAGTCCTACCCCACCCGCCATATTCCCCAGATATTGCGCCGTCCGATTATTACTTGTTCCGTTCGATGGCACATGGTCTGGCTGATCAGCAGTTCCGCTCATATGAAGACATCAAAAAATGGCTTGATTCGTGGATAGCCTCACAAAACGAACACTTTTACCGTAACGGTATTCAAGCTCTGCCAGAAAGATGGGAAAAAATTGTAGCTAGCGATGGGCAATACTTTGAATGATTCATTTGTAACCATTTTTTCACAATAAAGTTGCATTTTCATAAAAAAACAGCGAGAACTTAGTTGCGCACCTAATAATTTAATAAAATAATATAATAATAATTTTTAAATAATTGTAATGTAGTAATTCGATTTGTTTAATTTGAATTTTCTTGGATTTTTTAATTGTTTTTGTTTGGATTAATTATTATAACATTTTGTTAAAAATCTAAAAGTAATTATCACTGGTTCATTACATTACATCAATATTCATCGCATATCGAATGTTATTGCATTGTTTCAATATCTATCAGCAAATTATCCAACAAACACCAAGTAAAAGTTATATAACTATTATTTGAGGTTTGTTAGGTATGTTACCCAGATAACTATTCGATGTTCATTGGTCCATACGATCTTATGCTGTGCATATGCGTCTATGTAATCTTGTGTGCGATAGCCTTAACGGCAGATTAGGGACGCAGATGTCTATGGATCTGTCGACAGATCCTACTCGAATTCGACAGATTCTGTCGTCAATCTGATGTCAGTTTGTGTACATATTGCTTACTGGGTTATAATATGCTGTAAACACTATAAGGATACATTATATAGGCATAAATCATAAGAATATCGTTGGAATCATTGGGAATCGCTGAGTGCCGCTCGATCGTCAGGTTAAGCAACACTTTAACGGAATCAGGACATTGGATGGTGACCGGTGATACCACTTGGGATCGAAATTATCGAGAGGAGTTTCACGAAAGTTTTGGAGTGTGTGTTGACTATCTTCGATACCATAGTAGTTTATGAGACATGATAAAATTAAGGATATATAAATATGTTTTTTTAAATATTATGATTTTCTCATTTTTCATCTTCGCACAATAATTCTTAGTATTTGATTATTATCAATATTTATTAATAGTGATTTTATTATCAGTATTCACCAGAAATTAAGTACTGGTCAAAAAATTACTGAATTATTGATAATATTTAATTACTAATAAATTTTTAATATTTCTTAGTATGAAATTTATTATTTCATCAAGCAGTATTAAAACAATCGTTAATATTTTCTCAAAATATTTTGGAAGAAATATGATACATACTTAATATTTATAGCAGATAAATATAAATTTAAATATTTATAATGTAAAGAAAAATAATCTTTTGTAATATTTATGGTAATATTTGTTTATATTTATTTATTAAATATTTATCGTAATCTTTTTCATACCTCACTCGGACATAAGAATATGCAGAAAATATTTATCGAATATATTTTCAAAGTATTAAAATCTTTCTTATAAATATTTTAAAAAGATTTTGTAAATATATTTTGTGCTGTCTGGATTCTATATAATATCTAGACCGCTAATTAGGTATAGTTTAATTAAGGATTGTTTGATCGGAAAAATTAGAGATCTTTTAATAAGAAATCGGACACTATATGTCAACGTTTTGATTGGCTGCGCCATGTTTGGGACGGTTCCCAATGATTCCAACGATATTCTTATGATTTATGCCTATATAATGTATCCTTATAGTGTTTACAGCATATTATAACCCAGTAAGCAATCTGTACACAAACTGACATCAGATTGACGACAGAATCTGTCGAATTCGAGTAGGATCTGTCGACAGATCCATAGACATCTGCGTCCCCAATCTGCCGTTAAGGCTATCGCACACAAGATTACATAGACGCATATGCACAGCATAAGATCGTATGGACCAATGAACATCGAATAGTTATCTGGGTAACATACCTAACAAACCTCAAATAATAGTTATATAACTTTTACTTGGTGTTTGTTGGATAATTTGCTGATAGATATTGAAACAATGCAATAACATTCGATATGCGATGAATATTGATGTAATGTAATGAACCAGTGATAATTACTTCCGGTTAGGATCATTAGCTGAATAACAACACAAGCAGTGGTCTATTCGTTTCAGCTGCATTGGCTGCACTGCTGAACTGGTGCAATAAGTTAAAGTAAGATAAGTATATTTCCGGTTTGAACCCAAACATGGCGAATTTAGTATCTATAGGCGACGATGTCCAATCTTTTATTAAAGGATCTCTAGGAAAAATTCCATCCGCCATCTTTGAAAGGATCTCATATACGTGACCGGAGTGGCAATGTGTAAGTGGGAGGAAGCAATATGCTATAGTGCGTTTCATTTGAACCGGGTATTAACCCGGTTCTTTCAGAAATGGCCGCCCGATATTTTTCCGACCACTCGCTAAATATGAATATCAACAGTCTAGTTTATAATATCTAGATATAGTTTCCGGAATGGAGCCGTGTCTTGAATCAGCGATAGGCATATCGCTGATTCAAGACACGGCTCCATTCCGGAA